TTAGAACGTTTCGACGTACTCCTTGATCTTATCAAGAGCTTCGAGCATCCGCTTCTTTGCATTGTACTTGGCGAGGATGGCTTGCTCAATGGTGAGCTCGAAGGCTTCTTTACCGATCGGCGGTGATCGCGAAGATCTTTGAGTGCATCAAGAGCTGCAGTGTACTCTGATGGTAAATGGGAGCCATCTAGTAATGGGTACAAAATGAGCATGTATTCCTGTAGTAAGTTCTCCTGTTTCAAGCGGGACTTGAACTCTTCGCGGAGATCTTGAAGCTTTTGGAGCTTCTCAGTGGCTTGAAGGTATCAATGATGACCTTCTCTTTCCTCAAGTGCTTGTGGGAGGAAGTGGACATAAGCTGTTGACTTCATCAAAAATGAAGTGGTCATGACACTTTTTAAGTTAATGTCCGAGCCATACAGTGATGTCGAAGCAGCACATGAACCAAAGAAGAAGTCTTGCTGGGAAAAGACAAAGATTGTTGGTAACGCAATCCTAGCCATTTGTGTTGTTTTGAACTTGATCGTACTTCTGATCTTGTTCTACAAACTCAACAGAGGTTATTGTCTCAAGTAAACACTTATTTTTATTACCATATAAATGATTTTTACCAAACCTCCTTTACCTTTCATAGGTAATAAGTCGAAGATCAGGAAAGATCTTATCGACATACTCAAAGACATCAAAGGGGATTATGTCTTCGTTGACCTCTTTGGTGGTTCTCTCTATATCTCTCATCTGTTGCATATTATGTTCCCAAAAGCAACGATCATAGCTAACGACTATGATAACTACGTTGATAGACTGAAACACATTCATGACACGAATGAAATACTTAAGGAACTTAAGGAGAGAATAAATGTTAAGCCAGATGAGAAAATTCCTACTGATCAGAAAGAGATCGTCAGAGAAGTTATAAGTAAAGCTCCATACATAGACTGGGATACATTATGTTCACGTCTTCTCTATTCTGGAGCATACAAATACTATGATCTTGACACATTAATGAAGAAAGTGTTATACCTCAGATATACTAACTTATTTGGTGAAAACATAGATGACTATCTTGAAGGTTTAACTATTGTTCATAAAGATTGGAGAATACTCTTCAATGAGTATAAAGATCTTCCCAATGTTTTCTTTATATGTGATCCTCCATACTTCCATACTTATTCTATACAGTATGGAGATGAATGGACTCTTAAAGATACTGTAGAAACCTTTGATGTCCTTAATTATCCATCTATTTACTTCAGTAGTGATAAATCTTATACAGAAGAACTTTTAGAGATATTGACAAAAAGATATGGAGAGAAATTTCTATGAGAAAGCATGTTATAGATAGAGGTTTAATTAATCCTAACACTCAGAAAAATAATGAAGTAATATATGTCACTTTTTCTGTTAATGGAGAAGAGAAAGATCAAGAAGATAATAGTTGATGAGGGAACTGAAGAAGCGACGACATTCATCTTTGACGACGGAAAGCTCACATTCGTTGTCGATAAAAATGGACAACACTTACACAAAAGAAAGAGACCAAGAAAATTTTTAGATCTCCCAAAAGCTAGGAAACCAAAGGAACCATTTCCAGTACCAGCCGTCCAAGAACCAGAGAGACTTTTGATACCAAAACCTGTGGTTGACAAATATGATCCAGATCAGTTCTTCCCAAAAATACCAAAGTTAGAATAAAAACTCCTTTATTTCTTTAGTATTATATAATAAGTCTATTAGTAAGCTCTGTTCTCGTTCTGTTCTGGTATTTTGACGTCTTTTCATGGTCTCGCATAATAAGATCATGAACTTTTTCTTGAGATACTCGAAGAGCTGAGGTAAGTTATCATATTCTGGATATGTAGGAAGCATCCCTGCTATCGTAAGTGTTGTATCAATAAGGATTGGACTTATATCGGAAAAGTCGAGATCTGGAGTAGAATAAGAAGGTAAGTCTCTTACATGTAGGTAGTCATTATATGCTTTACGCATGAGACTGAGTTTCTGGAGCACAACTATGAGACTTTGGTTCTGACGTTCAAGTTTGCTTAAAGTTCTCTCCAAGCTTCTGTAATAAACGTCAACCTCTGTAAGAGCAGATATTTTTGCATTGATCTCGGAGATCTTTTCTTGAACTTCACCAAGTTTGACCTTAACTGACGTTTGAGCTCCCATCATGTTTTCATCAAGTCATTCTCTATGTCATCAATGATATCTTCCCATGAAGTCATGTTTTCATCATTGATCTTAACGTGAACACTCATGAAAAAAATGTCATGTAAAGTATAAATGTCAGATTTTTACTCTTGAGCTTCTTCTCTCTGGATTGACTCGTCTGTAGGGCTTAATGTGCCATCACGTTCGACCAGAAGGTTCTGCTCAGGTCTGTCAAGGAGCTGTCTGTAGGTCGTGAAGGTTTCAACGAGTCCTTGGTAAGGATTTTGGAGATCAACATCGACCCATGGGTGTTTGCGTAAGAAAGCAGCAAGGCTTTCACGCTTGGAGTCAATGACATCTTTCTTATTGGTTAATCCTTCTTCAAAGCTTAGGATTACTCCTGCAGTTGATTCAAGTCTTTGGATCTGGCGTCTGGAAACCTTGGTGAGTTGTCTTATCCTCTCGTTTCCAAATACATGCAGGAGATATGCAGAAATTACTTCATTAAGTTCGATTAAACAAATTGGATGAAGATCAGTCATGGCTTTTGTAAAGCTGTCTTTTGTAAAGCAATCTTTTGTAAAGCAGACTTTTGTAAAGCAATCTTTTGTAAAGCAATCTTTTGTAAAGCAATCTTTTGTCAAGACGTCTTTTGTAAAGCAGACTTTTGTAAAGCAATCTTTTGTAAAGCAAAAGTATTCAATTTTGTGAGAAAATGCTTTTGTAAAGCAGTCTTTTGTAAAGCTGTCTTTTGTCAAGACGTCTTTTGTAAAGCTGTCTTTTGTAAAGCAGTCTTTTGTAAAGCTGTCTTTTGTAAAGCTGTCTTTTGTAAAGCAGTCTTTTGTAAAGCTGTCTTTTGTCAAGACGTCTTTTGTAAAGCTGTCTTTTGTAAAGCAGTCTTTTGTAAAGCTGTCTTTTGTAAAGCTGTCTTTTGTAAAGCTGTCTTTTGTAAAGCAGTCTTTTGTAAAGCTGTCTTTTGTAAAGCAGTCTTTTGTAAAGCTGTCTTTTGTAAAGCTGTCTTTTGTAAAGCAGTCTTTTGTAAAGACATAACCGACGACCGAATGTCCCAAGATGGTACAACACCAGCTCCAGCATCACCAACACTAGATATGATGGCAATGATGATGCAGATGATGCAACAGCAAACCCAGCTTATACAGCAAATGCAGGAAAAGAAAACTTTCAATAAACCTGCAAAGAACTCACAAGATCTTGAAGCTGGACTCAATGCTCTCAGGAACGACTACAAGAGAGAGCAGATGACGTTTAGGAAGAAGGGTGATGAAGATTATGAGAATGATCCGATCGAGGAAGACGAGATCAAGTCCACTGCATCCACAAAGACCCTCCAGGATGAAAGAGATGATGAGGGATTCCTTACCAAGTCTCAAAGACTCTTTGTCCTTGAGTTCTTCACGATCTCTGCCTTGAGATCTATGAGGAATTGGAAGGGTCGCGTTCCAAGTGGCTCAAACAAGCGCGAACTACTCATGACCGCAGTACCGCTCACTAAGACAAAAGTCCAGCTCATGGACTTTATCCTTTCCGCTTGTCCCGACGAGATCTAAGATCTGATCAGAGTAAAAACTTACATTTATGAGCTAAGCTCAGTAATAATTAGTTGTTTATTCTTTCTTCTCATACTTCTGTGCAAGGTTTCCACGGAAGAACTCAAGCAACATTTGGATCTTTCCAAGCTTTCGACCTTCTTTTTCGAGGTCATCCTGGTAAGTTCGGAATGCGTCAACGTGTGAGCTCGCATAGAATGCAGCAACAACAACCTCTTCTGCACCTTCTTTGCTGTCAAGTGGCATGAACTCGAATCCTTCCATTCGACCAAATAAAAGTGACAAAAATGTCAATGAGACCCACTCGTTGCATAGATGCTAAACCTGGTCCGAAGATGCAAAAGTTCTTCTTAACGCTCATGTCTGACCATAGGGAGTACGGTCATGAAGAGGTCATACAGATCTTCGATCAGTGTGTACCAAAACCTGAGAATCCAGACGAACTCTTCATGAAAATTTACTTGCTTCAATGGAGAGATGAGAGAACAGATATGAAACTCAGACCAATACCAATCTTTCTAGGTTTCTGCAATTACCTAGAACAAGCATACCAGATTAAAGGGTCTGACACCATCTTCCTCCAAAAATAAACTTTATCGTTTATAACACTTCAGGATCTACATCTATTTCTTCTGCTTCATCCTCAATGTCGATCTCTTCGACAGGTTTGATAGCAGCTTTGAGTAAGTTCTTACCCATTGTCTTAAGTTCAACTGGGTTATATTCTTTGTCTTTACTCTTTGTTGATTTCGTGAGATCTACATATAAACAATAACTTTTAGTCTTGTCAAGGTTTATTCTCGCTGAGAAATGGTCAGGAATGTTTATAGCTATCTTTTCAAACTTAAGTAAATTAGCTAAACCTTCATTTGTGTATTTCTGCTTATCGACAAAGATCATGATCGGACTTGCACTATAACCATACTTTCCTTGACGTAATGTTTGTGGTAAGCATATAAGTAGTCTCTTTGCTGTTTTATTTTGCTTCTTCACTTCATCTACAAACTGTTGGATCTTAAAGAACTTTATATGATGTTCAGACATCTTTATATACCCGATAAAAAGTTCAGATAAAAAAATAATTAGCTATATTTTTATTAGTGCATAAATGAGTCTTTCTTTGAGATTTTCTGATGAAGATCTAACTTTGGTAAGATCTTTAAAAGATGATGAAAACATTCTTTCTGTCATTGATGAAGAAAAGAAATACTTCAGTAATGATGTAAAAATAGAGCTACTCATTCATACTGAGAAACAGTTTGTGATCGTGATCTTGAGTTAACCAACTCGTATCCAAGCGTGCATTGTTATATAAGGAGGCATATAATCTTTTCCATTACCTGCTGGGTCTGTAATGCCAGCTACAACATGTGTATGATTTCCTGCAGTTCCACAGAAAATACCTGTGCTTGAATCTACTGGGTCACTTGAAATATCATATCTATGCATTCCCTGTCTATCCGAACCTGCTGCAAGATTTGTATAACCTCTTTTTGTCATTGAATGTGAATGGTTTCCTTCCACAGATGTTCTTCCACTGAACCTATGCATATGTGAAGGAAGGTTTTCAATACCTATTTTCTTTGAACCTCCCATCTTCATTGACTGCGTATTAGTGTAGAATGGAAAACTGTCAACTATTTCATACCATCTACCACCAAATAAAGTGTTTGGATTTATTGGATTCATAGACGTATAAACAGCTCCTATAGGATATATTAAATCATATATGCTCATAACTCTATAAACATATTCTAAAGAACTTATGTCATTAAATACCATTTGGAATGTATCTCCCGGATGAAATGTTGCATTTGTTCCACTTTTATAATGTAATGTTAGTTCAATAGAATTATCCAAGAAAAATTCAAAAGTATCTGGTTGAAGACCTCTAACAAATTCAAATGGAGTTGCTGGTTCACCATTTATAATTTCTGTTGTAAATGTCATTTTATCTGGTTTCCAAAATTTCTTTGTTAGTTCTGCATCCACATAAGTTTTATCTGCTTTCTTATCTAACATTGTTGGTAGTTCATATGCTTCAAAGTTTCTGGCATGACTTTCAATGTTCCTGCAACTCTTATCTAAACTGTTAAGAGTATCTTTTACGCTTGTACTTGGATTTTCTAATGGTGCACTTGAACCAAGGTCAAAGTTCAATATTATGTCGTCTGCTCTTATTTTCTTGATTTGAACTGGTTGGTCATTATCAGCTCCTATTTTATTGATTATAACAGGTTTGTCTTCTCTTGAACGAATTGATTTAACTGTCAAAGGTTCAGTGAACTCATTATTTTTCAAAGGAATCAATGTTGTATTGATGTTTTTACCATTAATATATACTTCTTTTGCATCAATACCAGATGGGAATGAAACTCTTTCATTAACTTTAACTGTTGTACCATCACCTGGGTACATATCTTTCTCTGGACCTTTGATTGTCTTAAGTATGACAGACTGTGATAAAGTATATTCTTTAGATGCAACTTTACGTATCTCTTCGTCAACATAACTTTTGTCAGCTTTGTCTGCAATCTTAAGTGCAGTTCTTCCTCCATTATTTTTGTTCTCCTCAACTTTCTTCGCTAATTCAGCAAGAATGAGATAAAGATAATCAGTAAGGTCATCAGTACCAGACATATTAATATTATTGTTCTTTCTTGATGTATTAGCAACTTTCACTAAGGTCACAAAATCAGGGTACAAAGTACTTAACGTAGAAATGATTGTTTTTGGTCCAGGATCTTTCTCTTCTTTATCATTAGCATCACGTGCCATTAGAATTGGTTCCAAAGGTCCAGTCACATCAAAACTCTCAAGTTCCATATAACCTTCATTTCTGAATCTTTCTATATGAGTTATCTTCTGGAAACTTGTTTTAGTCTTTTCAACTAAATTTTTTATTCCATCCACAAAACCTCCTTTATGATTTGGACCAAGATTACCCAGAGTGTCAAGAACAGTATCTATACCTTCTTGACTTTCAACAAAAGCCCAAAGAGCATTTATTTGACTCTGGAGTGATATCCATGAGGCTGCAGTAGCTCCGGCGTTTGCTATGGCAAAGATGAATGATAAAGGGTTGAACTTAAGACCAGATTCTTTATCTTTGACAATTTCAACGAAGTCATTGATATTTTTCTTCAAGTATTCCTTAGTCAGAAGAACTCCATCGCCAGCTATACCAGTTGCTTTTGTCTTTCCTTTAACATCAAATGTGATTGGTTTCTTCAATAAAATAACTTCTGGTGTTGTACTGATGCTATCATTAGTGGAGAAAAATTCTCCGACATGACTTGCTAAGTATTCTTTCGTCAATAATGTTCCATCACCAACAATACCAGTTGCTTTTGGACCATCTTCTGTGAATGTCAATGGTTTCTTTAACATAACTTTATCTAAGTATATTGCAATACCACTATTTTGTACTTGTTCATGACCTAATATATAAGCAAATGCTGCGTTTAAAGCATTATACAATGTATCTTCTTTAAATGTTAATTGACTGTTTTCAATCATTGGTATATTGAACAGTGTAGACCTTGGGTCAAAATGAACTCCATGGTCAATCGATAATAACCGTTTAACATGATATATTATAGTCTCTAATGCTTCATTAATATTTACCTCACGAGTTTCTTGCAAACCATTACTCGCCATACATGAAAACATATAATCTCTATCAGTTGTGAAGAATGGAGCATCTAAGTAATTATTCTCTACTTTTGTCACACGATTCTGTAACGCTTGAAGGTATTGATTTAAGTCTGTTTCAACAATTGTACCATCTGGTTGCTCGATAGGTAATATACCAGGACCGATGGTAATGTCTTCATCAGCACCTTCTTTATGTATGACTAAAGCATTATCAGTAATTCTGAGAGTATATTCTTTATATTGAAGTACGCTAGACTTATAACATTCATATGCATATGGAACAACACTCATTCTTTTACTACATATAAAAATGATGTATTATCTACAATCGACTGATCCTAATAACTACGGGACAATACAGTTTCAAGCAGATCCTAACATGGGGCATCCAAGTAAGATAAAGATGAGAGTAAAAAGTGTCAGTACTATGGCGAACTTTATTGTTTGTGACGAAACAGATTATTTTGTCTTACAGTTAGACGAAGATGGAGAAGAAAAGGTGTGTACATTTAAGTCAGCTCTTTCATTTGATATGGATACTATTGTATCAAAACTACAAGAGATTGTAACAAAACAGTTTGATTATTATAACAAGAAAAAAGGTCAACATAATGTAACAGTTTCACTGAGTGCTACGAATCAACTTATATTTACGTCACAGGACAAAGGACATAAAGTCTATTTAAAAGATGCTTCACATAGAGCAAATCTTATTTTAGGTGCATATGGAATAGAACTACCTATTGTACATAATTATTATCTACAAATGCCAAAACCACCTATGCTCAACTTCGGGTATCAGTTATACCTTCGTTCATCAATGTCTGTCATCTCTGGGTTCAATAATATTGACCAAGTTGATGATCGAAGAAAGATCATGTACAGATCTACATGTTATAACATCAATGAGTTCTGGATATCTGGTAAACCACTTATATGTAAGGAATCCTCACCATGGATAGATGCATTTCCATGGGAACTAACTAATGTTACGTTTACCTTAGTTGACTTCCAAGATCAGCCTGTTCGATTATTGTCACCAATGTTTATGGTGATAGAGATTAAACCAGATAAGCCAGAAGTTAGAGAAACCAATGATGTCAGTGATGATGATACAGAATCTTCGTACGATTATGATTACGATGACGATTAAAAAAAAATAACGTATATTTTTTTATCGGTTATAAAAGACCAACATGCTCAATGCTATAAAAGGATTAGTTAATAACCTTTCACCAGAAGATAAGAAAGGTATGCTTGATATGTTTGGGATCAAAATGCCTAAGAAAGCTAAAGACATTACCAATAAATTAGCTCTGGCAATTAAGAATCAAGGAGGTACAGGAAGTGTAGCAGATATTTTCAAGAATGCTAAGAGCTTCTATGATGACTACAATGGTATCATGAATGTTCCAGCTTCAAATTCCCCAGTTGCTTTAGATCACGATCAGAGATCTCATAATAGAGCGTTAATGGAGATGCAACCAATATACTCAGACCCTCCACCAAAGATTGATGAGAGCGAATTAGCATACAAAGAAATACAGAATGCCTTTTACGTTGTTAAGAACATTAATGGTCAAAAACTTCCTGATGAGAAATGGTTAGACCCAATAACTAAAGCAGGAGAAAGATTCATTATGTTTAACATTGACCAATACAGTCCAAGAGGAAAAGATTACTTCAACAAGATGTTTCCAAGAGTTATGGCAAAGTTCATTGGACAGATAGACCTTTTCAAACAGAAGTGGACATTCTATTACGACTTTGATGAGAAGAGAAACATTTTGCGTCATTTGAACATCAATACAATGGGATCATTAGTTCATCAGTTACTTAATGAAGCTCCAATAGCAGAAGTACAAGAATTAGCATCTAAAGTCCTTGAATCAAACTATGACTTCTTCCTTTGTAGTATTCCTTCGTTAAGGAAGATCGAGATCTTTGACTATACAGCTTATTCAGATGTTGATGCTTCTGCTTTGAGAAAAGGAACGTACACACCATATAAACTCACAGCTGAAGAACAAGTTATGTTAGATACGATGAGAGCAGCAGGTCAAGAAAAGATCGCACTCAAGATCATCAAACAAAACCATTCAAAGAAGAGAAACAGGTCACGTAATGGTCAGCTTTGGACATGGACATGCAAATTACCTATTAACTTAGAGAGGTATCAGATCTTCAACGAACTTAATGCAGAGACAGCAAAGAAGATGATGAAAGATTCATGTTTCATCTACGCGCTTGTAAATTCAGCTGGTGTTGACGAAGCAACAATTAATCATATGAGGGAAATCATTCGTGTCAAAGATTTTCCAATGTCAAAGATTAAGGTTATTGCCAAAGAAACAGGAATAAGGTTCCATGTCATCAAATACAACGAGAAGTATTCAAATCATTCATATACTTATGAACCAGATGAAGAACCAAAGATGACAGTAGAACTTTTATTAATGTATGACCACTACATGTTGAACGAAAAGCTTCCAATAAGTTCAATGTTCATCAAGAACTATGAAGATGTTTGTAAGTTGTGCAAGGATTGGACTTTAGAGAAGAAGATGTTAGTTAACAGAAGATATGAAACAAGGTATGCAATTAACTCAAAGTTAGTTACACCACTTGCAAAAGTCATTGAACTCTTGTTTGCTAACAATTATTTCGAACCAATTAGAACAGGAGAACTTTGCACATACTTCACAACGATGTATAATGAGAACCTTGAAGAAATGATTGACCTCACATACAATGAGCGTTATTGCGCAAGGATGAAGAAAGATTGGAGTTCAGAGACGAAGAAAGACATGAAGTTCCCAAGAGAACATGTTTTCTTTGCTGACTTCGAAGCATCAACTGATGGAAACATTCACAAAGCATACAACATTTGTTTCATGGAAGATGACGATGATGGTTATACATCAATTTGGGGAAGTGACTGTGCGTCAAAATTCCTCGAAGCTTTACCAGATAAGAGTTTAGTTTATTTCCACAACTTATCGTACGATGTCACTTTTCTCATGTCTCAGTTAGAAGAGATTACAGGAACTCCAATCATCAAAGGTTCACAAACGATGCAGATACAAGGAAAGTACAAAGGAAAACTTCTCTGCTTCAAAGACTCTTATGCAATCATCTCAACTAAGTTGGAAAGATTCCCTGAAATGTTTCACCTCACTAGTGGTGAAAAAGAAGTTTTCCCATATAATTACTACACGGAAGAGTTAGTTAATACAACTAAAGTTGGTAACATCGATGATGCCATGAATCATGTCAAAGATATTGAAGCTTTTAATGAGAACATTGAGAAGATTGAAGATTGCAAGATTGATGATGAACACTTTGACATGGAAGTTTATTCGTCATTCTATTGCGGTCAAGATGTACGCATTTTACGAGATGGCTTTCTTAAGTTCCGCAATGACCTCATGACTGAGTTTGAAATAGATGCTTATGATTATGTTTCAATAAGTTCTATCTCAAACAAACTCTTTGAGAAGAGAGTATATTGGAAGAACGGTAATCTCTTTGATCTTGCAGGAAAACCTCGTGAATATATTTCCAAGTGTATTCAAGGAGGAAGATGCATGCTAGCTGAGAACAAGAAGCAATACAATGAAGGAGAACTCATCACTGACTTCGATGCTGTATCATTGTATCCATCAGCAATTGCTAGACTTTACTGTTTAGAAGGAATTCCAAAAGTTATGACAGAAGAGATGAAGAGCAGTGAATACTTGTTGGAGCATCTCTTTGATGATGACCAAGCTGAACCAACAAAGGAAAAGTTCATCTCAGGATTTTACTGTCAGATCGAGATCTTGTCGATCGGTAAGAACTCAGCATTCCCATTGATTGTCGTCAATCCTGACATCAACCCTGACTTACATGTTGCCAGAAGTTCCAATACATGCTGCAAGATGTTCGTAGACCACATTACGCTTCAAGATCTGATCAAGTTCCAAGAGATCTCATGCAAAGTCATTGATGGATACTATTATGATGGAAAAAGGGACATGACAATAAGGAATGAAGTTAAGAAGCTCTTCGAATTACGTGCTAAGTATAAGAAGGAAGGTAATCCGATACAAGAGATCATCAAACTTCTTTTGAACAGTATCTATGGTAAGACGATATTAAAGCCCATTGACAAAAAGATTCGTTTCATCAAGGACAATAAGCTCACTGACTATATCATTAAGAACTATAATGACATACAGACAATAGAGTTCATCCCCGATTCCGAACTTTCATGTGTAAAGTCATTTAAACCTATCGTTCGTCACTTTAACTATTGTCCATTAGGTGTTTCAATCCTTTCTATGTCCAAACGAATCATGAATGAAGTATTCTTCACAGCAGAAGATTTGGGCTTGAAGTTGTTCTATCAGGATACAGATAGTTTACACTTGTATGAGAAGGACTTAGATAAGTTAGCAGAAGAATACAAGAGAAGGTATAACAGAGAACTCATTGGAAAAGCACTGGGTCAATTTCATTCAGACTTTGCAGAGATTACTGCAGGACATATGTCTAAGGCACAAAGATCTATATTCGTTGGAAAGAAGACTTACCTCGACGAATTAACCAATGACCTCAAGGAAATTGCTTTCCACTGTCGAATGAAGGGAATCACACAGGACGTAATTGCACTTACTGCAAACCAAATGTTCCCAGATGCGATACAAGTACATTATGACGAGAAGAAAGGTTTGTTCTTCCCTGAGAAAGTTGGGGAAAAATATAGCATCGTGGAATTGTACAAATCTCTTTATGAAGGTGATGAGATAACCTTTGACTTGTGCATTGGTTCGAAACCATGCTTCAACAAAAATAAGGACTTCACTATTTCAACGAAGTCATCTTTTGAACGTAAGTTAAAGTTCTAAACACTTACTTATTATTTTTCTTAGCTTCTTCCTCTTCTCTCAATTTCTTTGCAATCATTCGTGGATTCTTTGCGCGTCCAGCTGCTAATGCAGCTAATTGTTTCTCTGTGAGTTTACGCTTTGGTTTAGCTGGTTTCTCTTCTTGTGTTTGTTCTTTTGGTTTGAGTTCATTAAGTATTTCTTCACGAAGTTCATTCTTGAGTGCTTCTCTGTCGAAAGTATTCTCAGTCATTTTGTTAGGAGTAAAAAATTTTATTAGGATAGAAATGACGTCAAAACTTTCACCAAGTGAAAAGCAATCAATCATATTGAATGAAGCTAAAGGAATACAACATCCATTATATTATGTTTGTCATATGAAGAATGGTTCAGTTCAAGTTAGAAAGAGAAAGGCACCATTGAATTCACCAGCTCCTGCCCCAGCTCCTGTTGTTCAAGAAGCTCCTAAAGTTGATGAGAAGAAAGAAGAAGAACAAGCATATACTAATAAAATGTTGTTAGAGATGATGACAAAGATATTAGAACGTAACAGTGTAGTTAATGAACCAAACATGGACCCAATTGAACGTGAGAAGGAAACTAAAGAGAATCAAGAATATGTTCAATCAATGGAAGAGAAAAGAATACACTTCGATGATGAACCAGAGCCTGAACCAGAACCTCCTAAACCTCAGCCACAAATAAGACGAATAATCCCAAGAATAAGAAGATTGTAAATTTTTTATAGCTGAGAAAGATGTTGAACGATAACCTCAATACATACAGTATTGCTGATTCCATCAGACAAGTAAGATATTATTTCGATCAAGTTGATGGGGCAGTTCCTATTGGAGATACTAACCATAGATATGTCCCAACAAAAGTGCCAGCTATGCCGACAAATACTATTGATAACGGTTATATTACATTTAACATATCACCACCTGGTGAGAACATGATTGACTTATATAATACGTTCATTAGTGGTTATGTCGATGGTGAGTGCATAATTACAACAGAAACTGAACCAGCTGATGAAAAAGTTCCTAAATATGATGGTGAAGTATATAAAGAAAGAGCTGTTGAGACAGCTCCTACAGGATCAAATGTTACAGCAATTAAAGCAATTGATACTAAATATGCTGGTGGCAAATCATGTGCACATCTTCCAGCAATTTGGTTGGGATACATTGATTCATTCTATGCTGTTGAATCATATCAATTAATCGCTAATGGTAAAAGTGTTTATACACAAGATAATGCTAGAGAAGAAGGTTACATTACTTCTACTGCATCTACAACAGAAGCTATTAAGAAAGTTGATGTATTTAGTAAGGCTAGACATAAAGATGTTTTCAATAGATGTGATACAGTTCGTTCTGGACAGATTATTGAGTTCAATAAACCAATTAGTGGTGCAACTACATTAAAGTTCCACATACCAATCAAGATTGACCTAAGAAGATTCCTAATACTTAATAACATTAGATTCCTTCCAGCGTTTGCTGGTAACTTACAACTTAAGGTTAAGTTCAGTATTGCTGGTATGGTTTGGACACCATTAAGTTATCAGGATATTCTACCATTACCGAACATGCAAGCCAATGTTACAAGCTATATTCCAATCACTAATCACTTCACTCCTATCTATGAAGGTATCAAAGTTATTGATACTGTAACTTGGAATGCCGATAAGAGTACGATATCATTTGGTACCAAGTTTATTAAGTTCACTAAGAAGAATGCAAACTTCTTTGAAATGATTACATACTGTAACTCATTCTCTTTGGACCCTAACATCTATAGTGATTTGGTGACAAGATATTCGGCAAAGACTCTAAACTTCCCAATCAAAAGAATTGACTGCATTACTATGGATGGTTCAATGGCTAAAGGTGAAGGAACTCCTTGTACATTCACGGCAGCATTTACTCCATTATATGTGAACACCATTTATACACTATTTAAGAAAACACCTAATTATAACACTACCTATGAAAATCCATTGTTTGAACAAATTCAATTGAACTGTGGAGCATATGGTAACATACCCGCTGAGGCTCAAGCATCTAATGATCCAATCTTCTATGAGATGCAGGCAAATGCCACTAACAATAATAACGATACTGTTGGCTTCAACTATGATGTCATGAGGTCTATCACAACCACATCAGTCCCTCAATTTGGAATCGAGTCAAATGACTTAGGTCATTACCTATGTGGATTCCCTTGCGAAACTGATTATACATTCCAACAGGGTCAGTTATCTAATTCACCTATTACATATAAGCTTACAGTTAAGCCAACAGCAGAGTCTATTAAATATACTGAGAAACCAGTGTTATGCTTCTTACGTCACGTTTGCCTCTCCATACAGATTAAACAGGTGGGACCACCTATCGTACTTCTCGACGATTATGATTTATCAGCCCCTGCTAGTGAATAAAGGTTAGTTTACATATGAACGTTTATTTTTACACATATATGCGTACATATGCGCGCCCGTATGGTGTCAGTTTTCTGTCACTTTTTTCATTGTGTCGGTGCCTGTAGCTGTAGGCTACAGGCGACGCACAATGTATACTGTACTTGTAATGTTAAAAGAAAAGCAATAAATATAGGATATAAAAATTATTAAAAAATTATATATGAAAAATAGTATAAAAAAACAATACTCAATCTTGTTTCAGAAAGTAGCTAAAGTCTATTATAATTTTTAATACATAAATAGCTCTATAGGTTCAATATCATCATCTTCGAAGTTTTTCCTATAAATAGGAAGCTCTCTAATCTCAAACCATCTAACAAATCTAACAAGCAAGCTCTTGTTACTTGTAAAAACGGCCTTTTTCTCCAAATATGCGTATAATTCGTAAAATGTCTCCGAAATGAGCCATCCGAAGAATACATCGACTGTATAATGGTTCCTAGCCAATATGATATAAGAAATAGCTAAGAAAAACGTGAAAGCGCAGTGAAATTGGACAATTCTTACAGTAGATTTTCTGACAATTCTTCTAGAGACTTCCACGAACCATTTAAAGGTCAATACCATGAACATAGTATGTCCGGACACAATAAGATCGCCACATTGTGGAATAGGAGCGAACATTCCCAGCCCAAAAACCCAAATCACGGCAACCATCAACGGATTGAACGTATTGATGTATGCAATGGATTTCGGATCCGCGCAAGGACAATTTGATAGGCCAGAACATGGAGCAGGAAGTGAAGTGACCGTAAAAGCCATTCCACGGGCCCAGCACATTATTGCGTACAGAATAAAAACCTTTCTGTTGTTAGTGACCTCTGGGACACTGTATGCGAGGACAACCAAGGCTGGAATCAAAAGTGCGCAAAGTAAATTTGAGAATTGTGTCTTCTTGAAATCTGGACTTCCTCTGATGCGCTCTCCGCATTGGAATCGCTCATGGATGATATCTGGAAGAGAATTAGTGATCGGCATCCTTTGCGCGGCAATCGCATTAAATACTGTCATAGAAACTATGGAAAAAATAAAGAATCCGATGAAAACCCAATCCTGAAGTTCTAATTTAAGGAATGGTCGCTTCGGTCTTGGCTCAAAATCATCAATGCTTTCGCTATAAGTCTTATTTGAAATTGTTGTTCGAAATCTCTTCCCAATGACTGATCCTGATAGCTTGTGTTCAATCAGAATGATTGTAAGTCCGCCAAAATAGGCAAGATTCATTGAATACGATGTTAATTGTGGCAAAAAATAATTTGATGAATTTGTAACGTAAAAAAGCAAAGATAATGAAAGAGTTGTGAATGTTCTGATATTCCAGATTTCTTCTGGGAAGGGTGGAGACTTAAATCTGTAATATAACCCAAAAATATAAAAAATAATTTCTGCAACTAAAAGAATTGCGACTCCTGAGCTTCCACCTATTACATTAATGCATAAGGAGCTAACAGCAGTCATGAAAAATGGAATATTGTATAAAAATATGTAAAATTTTGGCGAATCATGAAAATCAATGAAACTTAAAGAGTGTAAACAGTATAATCCATAGTTCCAAATAACAAATGTAATGGTTAATACTAAAATCATCCCGAAACTTGAATTAGATTTTGATAAATAAAACGAAAAAGCTTCGCCTAAATGGAGTGGGAGGATGATGTTTGTGTAAAGTATAAGTTTTTTGATAAATTGTCCAGGATACTGCATTGTTTGTTCTGAAAATATCTTTAGCTTTACCAAAATATTGGAAAGTATTGCTAGTAATGATGGTAACCATAGAATTGTGTTGAATAGTATCTGAGAATTTATGTTTTTAAAGTAAACAGGTGAAAATGTAATAACGTATTTAAATCCTTCACTAATTTCATTCATTATATGAGGCTTTTTGCTTATACATGTGGAACAAAAAGAAGCGAGATATATAGACATCTGTAGAAGATTCAGGTTTGATAATACATCCGAATTATCTTCAATATGTGATTTTTCGGAAATATCTTCATTCTGTACATCAATGAGAAGCGAGGCTTCTTCATTTTCCGCGTGTTTGGAGAGATTTCCTGCTGATTTTGACTTAGCAAAGTGAATCTCTCCTTTCATACACTTTGGATCAGTTGAGCGGAAAAAGTGAGAACAAATTTTAATCAGAAATGCATGAGTACATATGAATACATGAATTTTTTATAATCGGAGGATTGAATATTTTCAAAGGGTCTATCTCTCCGTAGCAAAAGTAATGTCAAGCGGGCAACCGGATTCTCTTGCAAGAATGCAAATTGTTCCAGGTAGGATATTGAATTTTTTAGTGTTAGGGACAGAAAGCTCAGAATCTAGTGCTTTTATTGGTTCTTTTCTTTCAACAATTCCTGATGCACAGTTATCAGAAATCCCTCCGGCAATGTCAATGACAACAGTCGCTGTACAATGGGGAAATGAAGTTCTTTGTGTAAATTTGACAAGAATTTCTTCAAAAGCAAGATTAGCTTCCTCATCAACTTTCGCATACGAAAGAGCTGATGGTGTGATTTTTATTACATCATCACCTACAATCGATAACGTACAGATATTAACGAGATGGCGTAAAGAAATTAATACAAGAATTACTTCATCGAGTATTCCTGCAATTTTTGTTATTCAAAGAGCAGAAAATCAAAGAATGCAAGAAAAAGCTGCGTCTACTACCAATATTAAAGAACGAGGATTCAAAGATGTAATTCAAATCCTCACTGGTGACTCAGAGCATGCCCAAAGTGTTGTTAAACACTTAATTTGGCATGTAATGGGTAATGAACCAAAGCAACTCACTTCTTCTTATGGTTCTCTTCTTGCTGCTGCATCGCGTGGTGCTGCGAACTTTGGAAACCTGTTCTAATTATAATATTATGTTATTTTTGTTATGTATTTAAATATATTTTTTGTTTAGTATTATTAATTATTATAAATTTTTTTATTATCTAAACTGATAGCCGTATGGGAAGTATAATCGGCTTCATATAACATTAAATGTATTTCTGAGTTCTTTGTATCCTAATATAATGATTTTTAAGAAGATCTGTGAAAAATCATCAAAATGTATGTATTTTTGATAATTAACACACCCCAAAAAATATGAATCAATGGGCCTCTAATCCTATTGCATCATCTCTGAAAAATATTTGGTTATACTATGTTTTTATGATGTGATGTTTCAAAAATAATATGAGTTTTATTTTCGTATATTGAAGATGTAATTTTATGCTATTTGTTTGATTTTGAACTGCTCGTGAAAGATATATAAAGTCAATATCTATAAAGATTCTACATATATGAATACTCCTCATTACTCTAAAGTGTGATGTTTAAAAATTGTAAGCAATCCAATGGACTAAATCAACTATAGTCATCGTTTGATATGATAATCCAAGAGTCGAATGAACACATGTTGGTTCAATGTTCTCAATTGCAGATGGATTTTTCAAGGACCCACATCATGTTGTATTGCAGGATTCTATTTATCTCGTCGTTTCACTAACGTTAACAAGATATTTAGATTTAAAAATGTACAGGTTATAGATAATTTAACTTTTTTACATATAATCAAATAATAATTTAAACAGAAACAGCTTCTGATTCAGCCTCTTCTTCTCCACTTTCTTTGATATCATCGGATGACATTGATTTTTCGTTTGGAATTGCTTTTGTTGGATCTTCTTTCTTTTGGGAGCTAATCTCTTTTGCAAAGAGAATAGTAATAGCAGAAACTCCTAATGTGACAGCTGAAAATAGCCATAAACCGTATTTGTAACCTTCCCAAGTATATTTGTGAGAAATCTCATCATGGCCTTTAAGAGGTATTGTAGAAGTTGATATCTGCTGGAATATAGCTGATGACATGAATAAGAAGAAGTTACCAATGCCAACAGCTGATCCGGCAATTGAAGGATGGAAATATGATGACATTAGAGGATAAGAAATAGAAATAAGTGAACCTGTGAATGTTCCAACAAGTATATATAAGATCCAAATGACTGTATTGGAGAATGACTTACCAAGGAAGAATAAGATTAGTGTAACTGTAAAAGCAACGCAAGATGAGAAGAACAACATCCATTTCTTAGTACGCAAGAGGGTAGAAATGTTTGGAAGAGTAAGTGAACCAAGAATGAGACCAATTGAAATTGAGATCAAAGTTATTCCTTTCTGCTTTTTTGTGTAGCCAAGAACATCAACAAGATATGGGCCACCCCAATATCCAGCAATGTTGAAATATGGTCCCGATGCCAACATATTATAAAATGTTACAAGCCAGAAATATCCATAAACAACAACTGTCTTAAGGGTGCACCCGTATGTACGTTTATTTGAGAGGAGGAGGATTACCCTCTCAATTTTGAGGGATTCGTTAGTTTATTTTCTCGATGAATATGCAATAAAATTTGATTTTTACCTTATCAATATACTTTATAATATAACACATGTTCATGTAAAAATTTTTTCCAAAATCCTCAGGAATTAAGGGATTTTTGAATTTTAAGAATTTTTTTCGAATTTTTTCGAAAAAAAAATATTTTCAGAACACCCTTAACGGCTAAGATTTAGGAACAATGTTAAGTATCAAAAAGAAAGGAGGTCTGATATAGACAACATATATCGTTGAAGGTTGAAAAATCTCTAATATTTGAGCCCAAAATTTCAAATTTTAATTTTTTGAAAAAAGAGGCCACCCGTATGTACGTTTATTTGAGAGGAGGAGGATTATATTTTGAAAGGGTGAAACATTATGAATATGTTAATTATATAATAATATGTATTATTATAAAAAAGAAAAAATAAAGCACGTGAAAATTTTTCTTTCTTGATTTTTTACAAAATCTACTTAGAATTATGCAAAATATGACTAAATAATTATAAATTTCAAGTTAAATTTTAATTTTGATAAATAATTTAAATTTCAAAATATCAAGTTCGGTTCAACTATGTATGTAGTAATTCCTCAATAAAGTGCCAAAACCCTATTAAAATATATGAACATTTTCAACATTTTAATGTTTTTATTTAAAAATTTGATGGAATATGAGCTTCAAACAATTATTATGTAAATAAAAATAATTAAATATTGTATTTATTCGTATTACAACCGTAGTAAGTCGATTCTTCCTTTTCTACTGAGGTTTGAATTTGATTTCGAATTGTAAAGAGATTCAAAGGGAAAATACTAGCGGATAAAAACTACCTCCATGAAAGGGTCATAATGGACTCAAGTTGTATTTTTTGATATTTTTTGCTTTTCGAGCCTAAATAGGTAGCCAAGATAATGCCTAAAAATAAGGTTCTAAATTCTGAAGTTTACATGATCCTCTCGTGTGCACCCTTAAAGTTGATCCAAAGCATTGTAAGCTTTTGTTTTATTGGCATAGCTGTTGTTCGAGATGCTAATTCTTCATTAACTGCCTTGAAACCTTTATTCATTGGATTTCCTCTGACGAAGAGTAATACTATTATTGAAATAATGCATCCAATGCCACCAATTCCCCAGAAAGCTGCTTGCCAGCCAGCTTTTTCAATAAAGAGTGCTAATGGTGCAGCAGCAAGAATTCCACCGATACCAGCTGAAGCTACAAGAATACCATAAACAGCAGGAACCTGACTTAACTTAAACCAGCTTGTAATAACACGGCATGTAGACACATAAGTTGGACCACATCCTAAGCCAACTAATAATCTGCCAAAAATTCCCAATCCAAGGGACTTTGAGAATCCAATAATGATCGATCCAGCACCTGCAACAAGGCATGAGCATCCAACAACTAAAGCAGGATCAACTACGTCTGCCAATAAGCCTGCAAATGGTTGAGTAAAAGCATAAGGGTAAAAGTAGACTGATGAGAAGACACCGAGTTCCTTTGTTGTTACTTTATAAGCTTGAGCCATATCTTCTGCTACAACTGATGGGCACTGTTTTTGGAAGGAAACTAATGCATAAAGAACATTTAAGCATACAATAGTATAAATTCTTGTGAGTTGGAACTTCCATTCGCTCTGTTCTTTTATAGGAGTTGTGGAAACTTGAGTAGTTTCCATGAACTTAGTTAAAAATGAATTTCTATTTTCAAAAAAATTCAATGTGTTCTCAATAAAATATGAAAACTCAATATTAATATTGCCATCACACTGATGTGAAATTCTTTTCAATAAACTATCTGATAAAACATCAAGATTGAATAGTCTCTTAAATTTCAATAGTGATTTGCATCGTTAGTTTCTACGCCATCATTAGAAAATATGGATATATAGATGAAATAGTGTTTATTGTTCGAAAGATGGAATTCAATACCTAATTTTTGTGTGAATATACGATAGAAAATATTTTTGTGAGATGGTATCAAGGAGTTCAATGTCATTTTAATTAGAAAATCCAGATAATTTGATAGTATTCATGGGATAGCATCTAGATGTCTTAAAATTAGGTTATTTACTCAAATATTTCATAATTTCAATCAAAATTCATCATTGAATCTATGTTTATGCAAATCATCTAACTATAATACTTATGCTTATATCATTTAATGGTAATTTATTCATACAAATTGTTTAATTAATCCAAACTAATATTATTGGCAATATTTTCAACAAATATACATTCATTTAATAATGAATCAAAATAAAATTCATGTTCATGAATGTGTACCTCAAAAATACGCATCAAAGCAGTTATCAGGCATTTTATACATTAACCAAGTGTATACTACAATAACCAGTCATTGTTTTTCACTTGGCTATCAACGCTGAGTATTGATGTAATATGTTTTTTATCACTAATTTAACAACATTAAAAATGTTAATCAGAATTCTTTGTTGAAAGGAATATTCTGATGAATTGTTATGAGCTATTAATAACCTTTTGTTAGAATAATCATTGAGATTAACATCGTCATTTTTTTTTATCACTCAGCAAAATTTTCACATTACACACTGACCATTATCAATTATCAGTCTCAACAATTTGAAAATAATCATGCATGATCATGTTTAATAGTCAATATACTGAAGTAAATGAAAAAATATACCAATTGGGTGTTCATATTGTTGTACATTAACCAAGTGGTATATTTGTTTATGTAATTATTAATATCTTAATTCTGTTAAAATTCTTTTGGAATATTGAATAAATTATACTATGATAAAGCTAAAACACATTTAAATGTCTATAATTGTGTTACACTGACAATTTTTATAGCTAGCTTTGAATAATTTTTTATTTTTTTAAAAGCTAAATCCATTTCGAATTCCTAATATGCCAATAAAGTCATAGTCGGAGGCTAAAACTGTAATATAACTATATGTGCATGATGTTGGTTTGAATGATTCAAAAAAAAACAATGCACCAAAGTTTCTCGAATATGGCGGGGAAAAGTCTTTTTTTTTCTCGGAAGTAATGAATTTTTCTGAAGATAAATTCAATAAAAATTAAAGTTATAACAAATATATGAATATGGATGGCAAAATAGATTTTGTGAAAACGGTTTAATTCAAAAGTAGCGATAAAAATGATCATTTATTTATGGAAAAAATATAATATATTAAATAGTTATTATTTGGAGTAACTTTTTTAGAAAATAAAACATTTATTGGGAGTTGAAATAATTTGTATTTAATTTTATCCCTATTAACAAAATAATATTTTAAATTGTTACAAACAATTCTGTAACACATTGAATTTTGGATATCATTTTGATTTATTCATATTAGTAAATCTAAACTATTGTGTTTTTATTAGTTAGCAAATTTACAAAATTGAATATTTCAATGAAAAATTTTTTGTAATAAAATATTATTTGATGATGAGTAGCCGAAGATCAATGCTTTTCGTTGTGGACCAATCGATTTTGCAGAGAATGCATGCACGCCGAGTTGGAAAGGATAACTCATCAGTAGATAATTTGCGTAGAAGTAGGAAAGATATTGAATCTCCAATTAAAGCCGCAACGCAAATCAATACATCCAATTCCACGATTGAACTCAGATTGGCTGTACTACAAGCTTTAGAGATGAAGAAAAAACGATACTAAAGCTTTAACCTGTTTCCTTCATGTATCACATGTTAACAACCAGAATTTAACTATCACCACCAAAGTGTTCCATCTAACTGTTTGTAAATCATTAATATTTTAAATTTCAGTTTTCCGAGAACTCATTTATTGTAAGCCATGGTTTAGTAGTGTCTGAATCCTTTAGAATATCGATTCCGAATGAACATATAATTCCATCTATGATTTATGGAAATTCCTTGCCGATAATAAATTATTCGAAATACTCATGCTTTTATTGGAAATATAATACGAATCAACTTAAGCATATTATGTACATGCTATATTATCTTGTTTCAGATTCAATTATGATATTGAAATGGAAAAATTCCAGTTGATATTTAATAAATCCCTTTGTACAATTAATATTTTATGGAAATGAATATTTTGCATTATTGTTTTATAACGCGCAAGCACGATCACTTGAAGAGTATAATTTGAAGTTATATGAGTAATTAAATGCATTATGCATAAGATTATAGATAGTATAATTTTAATAAGTCAAGGATTAATAGTTTTACTTGGTAAATGCCAAAGTTTTCGAACTCAATATGTTATTTTCTACGATCAAAGTCACAGTCAATAAAATTAGGTAAATCGAATATGGCAACCTATCAGTTTTTGAAGTACTTCTTAATGCATTAAATTTTATTCCTCCCTTCTTATATTTTTGTCAAAATTATCAATCTCAAAAGATTAAATCCTTTAAATACTTTGTTTAACTATGATAAAATAATATTGAATATTATAAGCTAACATTTTTATATTTTCAAGCAATGAATTTGGCTTCTAGAACCAATTTTGAAAATAAATAATTTTTCATAACTTAATTTGATTCATTATCAATTTGATTGAGTACTTTATCAACATCGAGTGTCAAAATTATCTTTTCTCCTGACATTGCGACCCATTCTAAGCCATCTGTTGAAGATTCAGTGCAAAGTATTTGTGCGCAGCTAACAGACGTTCCAGATTTTAATTCGAAGTCAATATTTCCTATTTTTGCAGTAACACGGCCGCTTTTATGAATCTGAATCTTTCCTAAGTGGCCATCTGTAGCACCAACTAAAGGATTTCCTTCCATTTGGCCTGTATCGTTTGGATATCTGATTGGTAATGCAGATGGAATCTGGAATAATACTAATTTTTCTTTTGACTGCAAAATATCAACCAAATTAGATTTTTGTTCCTCAAGTTTTACGAGAGGAAGCTTTACATCTAAACTTTGATCTTGAACAATTGCATCTTGTGCTTCTGTTGGCAATGTTGGTGCAAACATATCCGTTGCAAAGTTTGTATTTCTTCTTGCATTAGATGGTCTAAATGCATCACCAAATTCTAATATTTGAGGAGCTCTTTCCTTCTTTTTCGGTGGTGGTTTTGGTTTTTTATCGAAAATTGCAAAACTTGGAACAGAAGCACTGATTGGAACTGTTCGCTGAGTGTGGGCATCTCTTTTAACATTCTTCTTCAGTGGCTGAAATCTAGGAAGTGCATTTCCTGGTGGTGGTTTTTCAGCCATTTTGTCTTTGAATCGATTATTTTCCATTCAAACAATTTTTTTTTCTGCCATTGGAGTTAAAATTAGAGAAGGAATAGCAATTTTTCCTTTTAAAATAACGCGTCGAAGCATGCTTAACCTACTAAATGAATATATTATATCTTTTCATATGATTATATTCTTGATACGCCGCAAAACACGTATTAAGCCTTATTGCTCCAATGAAATAACTATTTTCATTAAAAATAGTGAGACATTGAATATAAGACATATGAAACAAATATAATAAAAATTACAATTTTTATACAAAGCGTTAACATCTAAAAGAAATCTGGGGTTTTTCACATCTCCGCTCAAATATAAAATCCCATATGATTTGATTTCAGATTCGTATCTATTCAATTCAATCTAATAATTTCCAGAGCCACGAACACCACTGCGGCCAGTATTTGCACTAGATTGTGATGCTAACTTTCTTGGATGTTTGGGTCCGTCATCATAAAGTGATGATCTTACTTCAGATTGTCTAACATTGCGAGAAATTCCCTTTGGAACGTATGATTGTTGGCTTTCTTTCTTAACTGGTTTTGGTTTTCTAAGTTGTTCTAATTCTGCTTTTAATTCTTTAATTCTTTGTAACATTTCGGTTTGAATTTGTGTAGAGCTATCAATTAATTCATTTAATTGAGATCTCATTGAATCAATGGTAGTTACAAAGTTTTTTCTCATTTCTTGGATCATCTTCTTTTGGCGAGCAATAATTGCATCTTTATCATCCAAATTGTCCTCATCCATTTGCTGGTCTGCTTCATCTTCTTCTTCGTATCCTTCTTGGATCTCCTCTTCTTCTTCCTGGTACTGTACTGCGCGTTTAGCAGATCTCATATTTAAATTTTTAAACGTCTTCCGAATAATGTTAAGCATTTGGATAAATCCTCGATATATCAGATACATCAATTAACTCGCAAGTATGGTTGATCTTGCTTGATATTTCTTGATAAATATCATATTTTTTTATCCCAAAATTGCTATCATCAATTGTTTCTCATTACCATTCAATAGACTATCAACAATGAAATACAAATTCATAGTAAAAAAGTATAAAACTTTATCAATATCTCAAAATGATGAAATATCCATTGATCATACAAAAAATGTGAATTTTGAATTTTATTTGTACTAACAATAGTAAAACTGATTTGAATTTAGGTAGTTATGCAAATTTTTTTCTTTGAAGATGAAGCAGCTGAAGCTCAGTTGTGAATCTCACTTCTCAGAATATCGGAACAAAAACGTATTTATTGATTGTGAAATATCTATACCTGATCGAGATACAATCATTGCTCATCGAATTATTCTATCAAAAAATTCTTCTTATTTCTTATATTTTTTTAAAGAGCATCCATTTAATCCAAATGACATGCATATTCAGATACCTTTTTTAATTAAAAACGATGATACTTTCAGGCAAATTATTGATTTTTGTTATACTAATACAATTTTTCCATATGTGACAAATTTTGGAAAGCTTTATGGATATAGTATTCTATACGGCATCCATAGTCTTGAATTAATGCTTCAATCTTTAATAGAACCCATGAATATACCAAAAATAGAAATAATCAAGATATTTTCTTTGTTTTTTGACTCAATAGATGCTGCTCCCCCTGAATTCAAATGTAATTCAAGCAATAATTTCAAAAATGAATCAATTAGAACTTTAGTAGTAGGGTATGAAGGGTTGTGTGACTTTTTTTGTTACATCTATATATAGACGATGTATTAAAATATATTTATTTATAAATCATTTAAAAAAATTAACATTAATTTTAATTTAATTTATTTTATCTTTTATAAGAAGCTATATATAGATGATGTCAGATATTCCGCGATTAATTAAACATTGTTTAAATCCTGAATGGGTTAAACTTCAATTTAAAAAGGAAGACTGTGAATTATTAAATGAATATGAAAGCCAAAATAAGCTAATGAGGTATAAATAATGATAAAGAATATTTAATTTCATGGAATCAATGGAGTCATAATCAAAGACCTCATAAACGAGAAAGAAGAAATGGAATAATGAAATGGAAATCATTGATGACATTAAAGAGGATGGAATTCCTAAATTTTGTAGAAAAACCTTTAGAACTAAGTTAGGAGCATATAAACGTAGAGTATTAAATCCTGAATATCTTAAACATATATTTAAAAAGGAAGACTGTGAATTATTAAACGTTAATGAATATGAAAATGCTAAATCAAAACTGAGATATAAATATATTGGAAGTGATGAAAGGTGTAAAGATAAAGATAAAGTTTATTCAGTTTCATATAATAACTGGCACACGTTAGGGATAAGAAAACATTTAGGAGATTATGGGAAATGTTCTGAATTCTTTAAATCTAGTATATATGAGAGAGTAAAAGAAATTAGAAATAATTATTTTCATGAATAAAAGATTCACTACCATAATGAAATAAAAAAATAATTTTTTAAAAAATAAACTTTAAAAATTCATGTCTTACATTTTTTGAATAAATGAGGGGTCCCTCGGTCCCTCGGTCCCTCGGTTAATTAACATCTTTTTGAAAATAGTGACAACATGACATTTTGACAACAGGGAAAAAAAAGGAGGAAATTCATGTCTTACATTTTTTGAAAATTTATTTTTTTAATTCGTAAGAAAATGAGTGGATCAAGATTCGTAACCGTCAATCAATTAATGGATGCTCTTTCACCAATTCTTGAAAATGTTAAACAAGTAGATGTTTATTTCGATGATTATGTAGAAAGTTTATATTATAAAGGTAAGTTTAATATTAAACCCATTGCTTTTGCATTTGATAATAAATTAATTGAAAATGCAAAAATTTGGAAATTAATTCCGAATATTGAATTTATAACAAATATTAATGATAAATGGTTTAAACGAATTCCAACCACAAAAGTTCTTTGTAAATTAATGATCAAAACTGAGGAAAAAGAATTTAACGAGTTTAAATATCATCCAAATAAAGTTTCAGAACTAGAAAATGAAAAACTTCAGAAAAAATTAAACGATAGACTTTCAAATGATCGTATTGAAAAAATAAATAAACTAGCAGAAGTTGCATTTAATAATGAAATATTTGATGAATATAACCTTGAACTCAGTGATGGACTTTAAGTCCTGGGCACTTCATGCCTTGGGCTTTAAGGACCCGGGCTCAACGAGTCATGATTTATGAAATCAATAATTTGATTTATTCTTTCTTCAATAATTTCTATTCTTTTTGTTAAATCATCAATTTTCATTAATGAGGTGATTCTTGATTGAGGAATAGATTTCAAACTAACCACCCCCTTTATTTTTGAAATTTTGAATCCATCAACTTTAAACATTTTATTCAATTTACACGTTGTCAATTCTTCAAATAATTTTTTATTATTAGCATAATAGTCATTAAATTCTTCAACAGATGAAAAAATTTTTATTTCAGTAATTGGTTTAATAATGTTTATTTTTTGTTGAACATTTTCACTTTCATTTATTTCTTCCTCCTCTGTTTCATTTATTTTTAAAATCGGTTTCATTTATCATTAAATAAAAATTAGAATATAAGTGATGAAATATATTTTTTAATTAATATTAAATCAGAAATGGCTGCAGGATTCTTTAAAAAATTATGGGAAGGAATTAAGAAAGCTGCAAGTTGGGTTCATCAGAAAATAATAAAACCCGTTGCAAACTTTTTGGCACCAGTAGCGAAAACGGCAGGAACTATCATAGGTGGAGTATTAGGTGCTAAAGCAGGTAATCCGGCGATGGGAGCACAAGCAGGTAACGCAGTTGGTGGAATTGCTGAAGGAATACTTAATAAAATAGGAGGTAAATAGTGGAAAAATAAATAAATATTATTTTTATCTCAATATCGGTTGTAGTCGACGATAAACTTTATCTCCTTTATTTAATACTTCCCTTACCGGAACATTAGGTGCTATTTGTTCTGCAACGTCACTAATTGCTTCTTTATTCTTAAATATCCAATTTGCTCCCTTCTTCATTGTTTCCCAAACTTTATGTGCTCCTCTTTTTACTTTATCCCATAACTTTTTAAAGAATCCTGCAGCCATAGTTGATTATTTCATTAAAATTAAAAATTCATTTTCATCTTTTAATTTTGATTTTTTTATTTCATCATAAATGACGACTAACTATTTAGTGCCAAACACTAAACCGATTAATGGAAATGTATTTCATTCATTCGAAAAGATAAATGAAATATTCGCAAAGAATGACGGTAGAAGATATTATAGAGAACTTGAAAGTTCATGCTATGACTCTGATGCTCCATATTTTGATGATAAACAAACTCATTTAAGAATTACAAATCCAGCTCATGATGTGAACCAATTAGGTGACACATATATTAAACGCAAAGTTAAAGCAACTCTAGTTTCAAATAAAGCTTTCACATGTGATGCCGCTTTTAAATGCATGCGTTTATTCGTTGGTTACAAATCATCAAATCAAAGCTTTAAACAATTAGAAGTAGAAACTGAAAGAGGTGATGCCGGTTATCTTCAGATGGATTGCGCCCGTGAATCTTTCGCATTTGCAACATATAAACCAAAATCAGAAAGGAAAGTTAAAAAGTTTGTTCATTCGTTATATAATAATGTTCAAAAATATGATAACTCAGTATGTGGTAAATATATTGACCCTTCAGAAGTTTTCAAGAAAGCAAATGAAGAAGTTGATGTCACTTTTGATATGATTATTCCGGTAAATGATTTGTTAGCATTTCAGGCGTTCGATGATTATCCTAAATCATTTGGTGAAATCATTCTTAAATATTATGTTTTCAGGGATAGTTTAGTATTTTGTCAGGTTGACCCGTTAAGAGTTGCTGATTTACAAAATTACGTTTATGAAAAGATAACTGATGTAAATTATGAAAAGATTATGAATCATGTTTATAAATATGATCGCAAATTCCAACAAATCGGACTTCCTACCAAATTAATTACAAGCTTAGCCGCTACATCTGCTGACGCAACAGTTGATGACGTTATTATTTCATGCACAAAGATGGAAGTTTTAGAGGATAAATGCATTACACCAGGATACGGTTTAATTGAAGAATCAGTTAAAGCAATACCACGTTTATTCAGTAAGGAAGATCCATTCATGATTCCAGCTCAACATATTGACGTTCGTTCACTAAATGGAGGTTGCATCACTCCTGAAGGTATCAGTTCTGATTTCTCATACGCTCTTCATAATGTTACAGATGTTGTGTTAGCATTTCCGAAGAATGCAATGCAAAGAACAGTTTTAGAAAATCCAATGCTTCGAGGTCTTCAGGTCACTATAGATTCCAGAAACTTCCCCGATCAAGCGATGACCACAGTGGGTGACATATTCTTTACACGTATGCTTCAAGCTTCTGATTTAGATGGAGTGAATGAATGCACAGAAGAATACGAGGACTCATTAACTAGACCACTGAATGATGATAATGGCACACCATTAGCTAGAACATGGAAAGACCAAACTTCATTCTTATGCACTATTCCAGTTCAACGTGATGGAGCGGGTATATTCTTTGATGGATTAGAAACTTTCAACTCACAAGTTACAGTACAAGTGAAAGCTTATCCAATCATTCAGGGTGTAAATGACACTTACTGTTCAAAGGTGACAAATCCTCCTCAGGTTTGGTTTACTAGGACTACGTATTGGACATGGACACCGGATGAAGGTTTGAAATATCATCCAACAGGTACACCACCACAGTATAGAAGTTCATATGATGAAATATTGATGAATAGAAATGTTTAAAATTATAAATTTATTTTTGATTAAATGGATTTCAATTCTGAAGAATTAGCGGGAGTATATAATACATACGTAGATGATATGATTAATGAAGCATTGAGTGATAATAAAAATGCTCTATCTAAGGAAAAATTAATGAAAATTCCATATTCTGAATGTTACTTAAATTCAATCACTGCAGCAATTGGTAAACAAAATAAAGGTAAAACATTAACGATATTAAAACAAATTATCATTATTGCTAACACTTCACCTTATTCTCATGTGTTAATTTATATCAACCGTTCAGGTTCACCTTCTGATGATACATTTGAATCTTTAAAGCATTTAATCAAAATTCCAATTATTTATTTATCACAAGAAGAAGCGGAAGATTATTTGAAAAAACTTTTTAATGTATAAAGAATTATATAATACAATCAAGAAGCAAGGATTAGAGGATAAAATTATTGATAAACAAAGGGATGAATTATTTGAAACACTTTCTATTTCAAATTTTGATAGAGAATTTTTGCATTCACTAATTTTTCTAGATGATGCCGTGAAATCAAAACTAATAACTAATGAGAAATCATATTTTAATCAATTATTAACTCAATGTCGACACATTCAGTGTTCATTCTTTATGGCTGTTCAATACTTTAAAGCATTAAGCACAAACATTAAATCAAACCTGTCCACACTTTTCATTTTCAGTGGGTTTAGTCGTCAACAGTTGAACGTTATGCTTTATCAAGTGAATTTACCAATGAGCATTAATGAACTTTACACACAATATCAACAATTAGGAGAACATGGAAAAATAATAGTTGATTTAAATAAAGGTTCCATTAAATTCGAATAACTTTTTATAATTAATTTTTATTTTTTATTTATAATTAAACATGACAGAAATTGCAAATCTTCTACAGGTTCCATTAAAACAAGGAACAAACAAAAAGGGTGCATATAATAGAACTATGAAAGTTCCAGACGGAATGAAAGAATTAGTCCACATTGTTGCCGGTCTTCAAAAGGATGTTAAACAAATGAGAAACGTTTTAACATTACCAGAAGCTCAAGCATATGCCAAACGTCATGGACCAAATTGGGAAGCACATGAAGCAGACATTACAGGACCAAATGGAAAACCTGATGGTATAAATGAAGTCTTTGTTACTGATGGTCAAGGAAATATTAAAGTCATAAATGGGTATAAATTAACAATGACGGATTATCCTAAACGTAAAGCATATAATGAATGTTATCCTATACAATTTGATGAAAATGGAAAAGCTGTTAAACAATACATTGGAGAAGGTGAAAATGGTTCAATATATTCATACCATCTTATTCCATATTCTTATTTCAATGAAAAATTAAATGCTGTTGAAGAGGGACCGGATGGATTACCACGATATGTTAATCAGTTTGATGGTCAATATGCAAATTTGAGACCTGAAATTCCAGCTAAGAAATTCTTTAAAGTTGCTTTATTCGATCCAGTGTTCAATGAACAGAAAGAAGCAATGAAAGCAGAATTTAAACCAATTCAAGTGGCAAGAATTTCTTCATCTTCACTTTCAGAAGCGTTCAAGGAATTGATAAAGAAACCACTTTATTCTCAACAAGGTTATAACTTTGATTTAATTAAAGAAAGTGATAGACGTAAATTAGAAAAATCAGATGGTTTTAAGAATGCATGTAATGAAATGATTAAAGATATTGTAAATGATAAAATAAGACTGGAAGAAACTCAAAGCAATATCAATAACATAATTGGTGCAGTTACAAAGAAAGTATAAGCAAACAAGGATGAACCTTGGGATATTACCGTAACAACTAAATAAAACTTTAAATATATTTTTCTTTTTTTTATTCGATTATAAATGAGAAGACGTTTCACTAGTCAAAAGAACACAAACGCAAAAGCAGAGATTACGGTTGGTTATAACGTAAATGATGATAAATCACGAATTATTCAAAATGTTAAAGTTAATGTAAGTCCTGAATTAACAAGGTCAGCAACTCAACCAAATTTATTAACTCGTGACTTACCAAAGAAAGAAGAGGAGCAAAATAAAGAAGATGGAGACCCAATCATTTTATCTGAACCCGGTAAAGAACCTGTTGAAATTCCCACTTATCCAACATACCCCCCACCACTTTCATCAAACATCGAGAACCCAGGAATCTACGATTCCAGTCGCAATGCGCCATATAAAATAGACATTAATTCTGAATTAATGAAAATATATCGCGATATCATAACTGATAATTATGATTCAATAATAAATTTAATTGACCAATCCGGTTTAATTATTTTACCTTATGAATCATTAATTCACATTATCGCCATTCTTTGTGATGTTCAAGATTCAGACGTTAAGATTCAATTTTTCATAGATGATGAGGTTTCATGCTGCGGAACGGTTGCAAAAATAAATCCTATAAAGGATATTAGCACAATTAAGATATCAAAGAACAGAACAACAACTGAACTTCATTTAGCATATAATGATATTTATAATAAAATAGTTGATGAATATAAAATATCACTTGAAAAATTCTTTGTTAAGGCTATTTAATATTCAAGCATTAACATTATCGAATAATAATCCTTTGAATCATAATCGATAATAATTGACCTTTCGCCAGTTTCTATCGTTTGTTTTATTTCTTTTTGTTCCCCACTATCTGGATCAGTCATTGTAATTGTTTTTGTTATAGTATCAGCTTTATCTTTAACTTCAATCTTTTTTCCATCGGGATATTTAAACCAAAATTCCAAAAATTCGATATTGTCAATCTGTTCATATTTTAATCTATCAATTACATTTTTAATACCATCTGAAAATCTTATGAAATGGTCATTATATGGGTTTGATTGAACTAAATTTGAATGAAGTGAAATATAACCCGATGATGAATATGACATCGACTCATATTTTCTGAAAACACTAAAATTTATAACATGAATGAATTTCTTATTCGTTGAATTTATGAATTCTTGAGGTAATCTTATTCTAGTTTTATTTATCACTGGAAAATAACGCTTTACCATATTTTTAATCGTAATAAAAAAATGTCAATTATCAATATTATTTCGAATAATAACTGTGAATTAAATTTAACAGTTAGTGGAATTTATAATGTTACTCTCGTTTCTGTGAGTGGTAAATTTAATCCCATTCTTTTAGACCCTTCAGATTATATATCATTTATTAAAGATGACCATGAAAAAACGTATAATATGTATATAAATAATGTAATAGTGAAATGGGATATTAACACAATTTTAAGTTATTTAAATGAATCATTTATCGTATGGTATGAAGAAAATTTTAAATCAAAACCTGATAAACTTTTTGAACTTGATGAAATAAATAACCTTATTAAATTTCCGCTGAAAATTAAATTTTGTACTCCTCGTTTTCGTTCATTGTTGGGGATATTAAATTTTGAAAAAGATGTTGGGGATGTTTTGTATTCTGACACTGGTTCCAATTTCATTTTAATCAAATGTGATAAAGTTAATACCCCAATGAGATTTTCAACACCAAACATTAGACCCTAACTCTTACCCATCAATCACACAACATTTTATCCATCAACTTAAACACATTTTCTTTATACATCTCGTTTCAATTATCCGGGAATTCATTTATTCTTCATTCAAAAGATTTATCAAATATTAAATTTAGAATAACTGACCTATTTGATTGTGATTTAGAATTCATGAATGAGATATTATGGCAATTTCAAATAGAAAAAATAGCTGATGAGATAACGGATTAAATATTTATTTTTAAATCATAATAAATGATTAAACAACAGCAACCACAACAACTTAAGGCACAAAGCACCCAGGTCCCTCAGACCATTACATACGCCATATATGCATATAATTCAAAGACGGCAGAACAAACGCAAAGGTTGAAATATGGAGATTTGGAGATAGTATTGAAAAATGAACATTTCGAATTCGTTTGCAAAGGTGGTGCAGTGATATCAAATATAAAAGAAATTTTATTTATGAATTCTAAAATTAAAGGTATAACGGATGATATAACATCAATTCCACCAGAAGAACAGAGATATTACGCATTAAATGCATTTCCTAAAGTTTTGAAGATTGGAAGATTTAATTTAAATGAGGAATTCATAGAAGGTTTCCTAAATGACATAATGAAGAAAGCAGATAAGGGATGGGTGGCTAGTGTGTTAGTGAAGAAGGCGGATAAGGAATATGTGGATGAAAAAGATAACGAAATGAAAGAAAGGGTTGACTGGTACCATGAATGGACATCGAAGATTTTAAAAACTAAAGCTGATACAGGGTGGGTTTCAGGATGTTTAGACCTTAAAGCGGATAAAACATATGTTAACGATGAGTTAGAGAAGAAAGCAAATAAGACTCATACACATACAAGTTTTACAACTGTTGCTATAGAAAGTATTGAAGGAACGGTTGAAGAAACTGGTGGGGATGTATTATATTGTAAACCTCCTAACTTTCCACAAGGTTTAACATCGGATGACGACATAACGACGATGAGAAACATTAGATGTAAAGATGTTTATGTCATGAAGGATGAACATAATATTAAATTCACTGCTCAAGATTTATATGAGAAGAAAGCAGACAAAACAGAGCTTCAAACATTAAAGACGGAAATACTTCAAACATTATATCCTATAGGCTCTATTTATACGTCAATGAACTCTACCAGACCAGAAGTAGTACTTGGTTTTGGAACTTGGACTCAAATAGTTGACAGGTTTTTGTATTGTGCAAACTCTTCAAAGGAAACAGGTGGAAGTAAAACGATTTCAGGTGAAAACTTACCTGCACATAGTCACTACATAGATTTAAGTACATCTCAAGCAGGTTGGCATAAGCATAGATATTGGGATTGGTCAGCAATGATAAAAGGTAAAGGATATGATGTTAAAGACGACGTTAAGTTTGCTATAAATTGTTTCTGGAGTAACACTGAGGGAGGAGGAAACCATATACATAATGTTTCAGGATATACACAAACAACGGGACAAAGTAAAGAATACATGCCACCATTTATGACTGTATTCACATGGTATAGAGTTCAATGAATGAACTAAATATATTTTATGTCTGTAATTAATTAGGTAATGAAGTAATGGATGAACTGCAGAAATAAATGTTTACGTTAATGTTTACGTTAAGTGACTCAAAGAGTCCGGAGACAAAGTCTCATGTTTTAGGTTATTCAATAATTAATTATTTTTGAATAAATGAAGGGTCCCTCGGTCCCTCGGTCCCTCGGTTAATTAACATCTTTTTGAAAATGATGACAACATGACATTTAGACAACAGGGGAAAAAAGGAGGAAATTCATGTCTTACATTTTTTGAATAAATGAAGGGTCCCTCGGTCCCTCGGTCCCTCGGTTAATTAACATCTTTTTGAAAATGATGACAACATGACATTTAGACAACAGGGGAAAAAAGGAGGAAATTCATGTCTTACATTTTTTGAATAAATGAAGGGTCCCTCGGTCCCTCGGTCCCTCGGTTAATTAACATCTTTTTGAAAATGATGACAACATGACATTTAGACAACAGGGGAAAAAAGGAGGAAATTCATGTCTTACATTTTTTGAATAAATGAAGGGTCCCTCGGTCCCTCGGTCCCTCGGTTAATTAACATCTTTTTGAAAATGATGACAACATGACATTTAGACAACAGGGGAAAAAAGGAGGAAATTCATGTCTTACATTTTTTGAATAAATGAAGGGTCCCTCGGTCCCTCGGTCCCTCGGTTAATTAACATCTTTTTGAAAATGATGACAACATGACATTTAGACAACAGGGGAAAAAAGGAGGAAATTCATGTCTTACATTTTTTGAATAAATGAAGGGTCCCTCGGTCCCTCGGTCCCTCGGTTAATTAACATCTTTTTGAAAATGATGACAACATGACATTTAGACAACATAGTGGGATTAATGCAAAAATAAATTCCAATCATACTTTATAAAGCTTCATTTACAGGTATTTCATCGTCAGTAAATGAATCCTCATTATCGTTTGGTTCAACCTGTTTATATAATCCTTTCATTTCTTCTTTCAAAACATAATACCACGTATGTTTACCGTCTGTTTTTCTTTGTTTCTTTTCACATTTATCCTTAATACTCATTTGAAAATTCTTGTCTTTCATGTCTGATGGTTTGCAGAATAGAGCATTTTTACACATCATACCTGCACACAATTCATCATAATGTGTATTTATCCATTCATCTAAAGGATTTGTTGATAACTCGATTAAATCTTGTTTGGCTTCAGTCATCGGTATGATTCGTACATTAAATGATGAAAGGTCGTAATTGATAAAATATGTTAGTAAATTATCATAAAATTCCTTTGTGCATGAATCCATTAAATTCTTGAAGTAATCAAATTGACCCTTAAATTTACCATTAACCCTTAAAACTACGTATCTTCTGTCTCCAACTTCAATTTTGACAGGGTAAACGTTATTAGTTACGAAAATAAAATTGGCAACATTCTGAGCAGTTCTTCTGGGTTGATTCTTTTCATTAATTCTTATCTCATTATCCGTTATAATTGATTTCAAAGCGTTGAAGTTTGCGAGTCTGTCTTCACCTACATTTTTGAGTTCATTAAGTACAAGAAACATTTTATTTTCAACAACTGAATTGAAATTACCCGTTAGCTCACTTATTTCGGTAATGTTTTTACATGAATAACCAGCGAGAAGTTCAGAAATAATATCTGTAAATCTGTTTTTACCTGTTCCCTGAAGTCCTTTCAAAATAATTGCTGTTTCATTCTTGATTCCGGGATGTTGAATCATTGATGCAATCCAGCCGAGTAGGTATTTATACACTTCATCGTTATTATCACAAATGGCTTCTTTAATGAAATTCATAAACATCTCAATTTTTGAGTAATCAGGCTTTTCGAGAACGTTGTATTTATAACCTTGAAACGTTGAGAAAACATCTGGGGAATCAGATTTAAAGCAAACACCCATAACGGTTAATGAGGATAATTGATTTAGTAGTACGTCCCATGCTGTTATGGTTTTACCTTCTTCTTTAAATAATTTAATCATTTTGAGTGACTCTTTCATGTTTGATTGAAGAACGAATGATATTTGATTCATTTTATCATGAATATTATAGTCTTTTTGAATGAAGTATTTGTTTCCACAATCTACAAAACGAATGACACGTGATAAATCCTCAATTACTTCAGAACTGTTTTTATACTGATGATTTTCAGCTTTACGTCTAATATCTGTTATCAAAAACGAGTCATCAAGTTTTATATCAAATGTTATTTTTGGCTTACGTAATAAAGGTAAAACATATTCATCATAATATTCCTTTTGATAAAGTTTCAGAATCTTCACCAAAACAAATGGAGAAGTCATTAAATGTGCATATCTATCACGTGCTTTTTCAAAATTACTTTTTGCATTTTCTGTTAAACTGCAGAAGTTATAAACGTTGTCGTATGCTTCATTAATTAAATGATTAGGTAACGAATTAATAGCTTGAAACAGTGTGAATAATGTAACTTTTTTTCTAAATTCATGTTTCCACCATCATTATGTACTTAAAATCACAGATGCCATCAACTATGCTCTGGGCAAGTTTATCGTCAATGTTTACATCTTTGTCTTCATTCATTATATTCTTTATTTCTTCGTTCTTCTGTTCAACTCTTACCTTAATATTCAAATCATTTAATATATCATTCACTGTTCTAGTTAATGTTGAATCATAACTTCCACGAATGAATGAGTATGTATTGATTGGTTCTGTTGCATTCTTGCGAACTCTTGAATCAGCCATAACCACTAATGAACGCTTTGAATCATCCATTGAAGTCATGATATCGATATCATAATCATTGCAGGAATAACATTTAATCATTCTGTTCGAGGTTGAATAGAAGAAATTAGTGTTGCAATAAATGTGAAGACCTCCTGAAGCGGTTTTAACGATAACATCTTTATCCGAAAGTTTTGATAAAATATCTTTTCTTACTGTTTCTTTAAGTTCATCATTGTATGATTTATTGATATCAACATCTATAATAGTTAAATTTGGAATTTTATTTACTAATAAAGCCATACCAGTTTTCCTTCCTCTTCCTCCATCGTGTTTGAGGTAGTTATGTAAATCAATCTTGTTTTCACCAATTCTTTCGTTGAGGGTTTTAGTTTCTGCCACAACTAATTCCTCAGCTAATGAATCAATAACTTGTTCATCAGAAATGATAAAGTTGCTGTTGTTGTTTGTTGCTGTCATTTATATAGGAATAAAAAAATAAAAATAATTTTAAAACTAACTTTATTCAAAAAATGTAAGACATGAATTTCCTCCTTTTTTCCCCTGTTGTCAAAATGTCATGTTGTCACTATTTTCAAAAAGATGTTAATTAACCGAGGGACCGAGGGACCGAGGGACCCCTCATTTATTCAAAAAATGTAAGACATGAATTTCCTCCTTTTTTTCCCCTGTTGTCAAAATGTCATGTTGTCACTATTTTCAAAAAGATGTTAATTAACCGAGGGACCGAGGGACCGAGGGACCCCTCATTTATTCAAAAAATGTAAGACATGAATTTCCTCCTTTTTTCCCCTGTTGTCAAAATGTCATGTTGTCACTATTTTCAAAAAGATGTTAATTAACCGAGGGACCGAGGGACCGAGGGACCCCTCATTTATTCAAAAAATGTAAGACATGAATTTCCTCCTTTTTTTCCCCTGTTGTCAAAATGTCATGTTGTCACTATTTTCAAAAAGATGTTAATTAACCGAGGGACCGAGGGACCGAGGGACCCCTCATTTATTCAAAAAATGTAAGACATGAATTTCCGCAAATTCTTTCACAAACTTTAGAACAGCATAATTTAAATTTTTATTTTTATCATAAATGGATACCCCACAAGCTCAAAATTTACCACGAATCATAACAAGGGAGGAAATGATAAAAATGATGCGAGAACATGTTAAAAATAACAAACCACTAAAATTGAGAAAATGTGGTTATGCAGTAATGATGGAAAGAGAGATGTTGTCAAAGAAAAATAAAAATTAAATTTGGATTGAGTTTAAAAATTCATCTTTATTAAATTCATCTCTTCCAACCAATTTATTTATTCTATTAAATTCTTTTATTTTTGCTTCACTCAGTTTAAGGATTGAACGGCAAGTTTCTAATTTTTCGATTATTTCTTTATCGTTTTCAACCCCACCGCATTGCGACTTCTTTTTGTAATAGCATATTTTTGATTTAATTCTGTTTAGTTTCTTTTTATATTCATCGTCTGGACTCTTGACTGCTTTGTTGTCACTCATTTCTTACGAAATAAAAAAATTAAAATTATTTAAATATTATTAATAAATAATGGAGTAATAAAATAAATCGGAATTTCTATTAATTTATTGTCAACTTCAACTAATGCATTGCCGTTAATATATCTAACAAATTCAGCTATTGTGTCAAATCTTCGTCTTCTTTTTGTCATTGATTTATCAGTTTTTTCCATAATCGAGATGAATAAAACTTTATCCCCTTGTTTAAAATTCATGAGCCCTGAATTAATTTGTTCACGTTTAACATCATTTAACCTTTCCATTTGCTTTCTAATATATTCCCATTCTTTTGAAATATCATTTTTCATTTTCACTGGTTTCATGTTAATAGTTCTATGCCATGTATTATTGTAATAATATACTAACTGCTGTATGATGGAGTCATGATTTCCATCCCAGTATATCTGACCGTTAACCCCTAACGCATCTCTAAGAGTTCTCATTACCGCATCAACTATTTTATTATGAAACGTATATGGAGAGGATGAAAAGTAAAAAAATTTGTGGAAATAATGAATCATGGCTGCCTGAAATCCTTTATCACCATCACCCCTGATATTATCTACTCTTTCCTGATCTAGTAAGTATTGTATAGCTCTTCTTGTTTCCTGTTCTGTTTTCCCTTTCACCGGAATGCAATATAAATATCTAGTGTTAATGTTAATGGCAAATAAATAAGTAATATTTCCTTTTGAATATTCCAGATGATCGATTTCATATGAATATGGATATGGAGCAAATGAAGGTCGACTAAATTTTTCCTTTAACGGTTGAATTTTTGGGTCAATTGGTTTATTTAATATTTTGAAATCCTTTTTAAAATCTTTTTGCTTCTTTAATGTTTGAAATGGATATAATAAAGTGAATGATGAAGGATTAACTGAAGGAGGAGGAGGTACTACTGTTGGAGGTTTTGGTGTTGTAAGTGGTTTAATTTTATCTGCTTTGATTTTGGAATTCATTCCCCCTTCATTAATTCTGGATGTATTCTATTCATTTGTTTTAAATATGCTGTATATAAAGGATTGATATACTTTCCCGCTTCGAGTTTATGTTGAAGGATGAATTCCAAAAGTTGATCTTCATTTAAAAGTCGGGCTGAATATGGTTTAACTAATGAATCATAAATTAAAGCTTGTGCATCATTTATGAGCTGCTGAACGTCCAAACTTTTCTCTTTTGGTTTTTGTGGCTCAGGATTATATAATTTATATAATTCATCAATATCTTCTTCTGTTAATACTTTATTTTTGAAATCTTTCAACTGTTTCAGTTGTGATTTACTTTTTCCCTTTGAATATTTTCCTTCTTTAATATTCTCTCTTAAACGTTTAATTATTTTATCATGATATTTCAAAATTTCGTTTTTATAATACCGATAGTATTCATCCATATCATCACCCGTTATATTTTTATCATGTTTTTGAAGATATGCTTTTAAATCATAATAAGTAAGAAAATTTTGATTAAATACTAAATCATCAATTAAAATTTTTAAATCTACGCTATTCATTTATATAAAAATAAAATAAATATTTAAGGGTGCCCGCCTCTTTGTCTCTTCTGTGGCATTTCATTAAATAAATGGCATACAACATCCATTTTCACAACATACAGCCTTAGTGTGTGCTCCTGTTAATGCAGTCTTACCGATTGTTAAGCGAGTCATTGACCCATTTTTAAGTTGTAAATTAATATTCTGACCATCGAAAATGACTTTATCATTTATTATATCCAAATAATTTTTAGGTGTTAATTGCTTATTTTGTCGTAAACTAACACCTTTCATTTTTTGTGCTATCTTTTTGAAGGAGTCTTCACCAATCATTCCGTTGAATGATGTATAACACTTAGGACATAACGCCACCATGTTATCACCTTGTTTCTCAATTGCTAAACCCAATAACTTCTTCTCATGTGCTTTTTCTTCAGCTTTATTCTTTAATTTAGGTTTAAATTTCTCATCAAAACAGAAGAAATCAAAAGGTGCGAATTTGAAAATGTTTTTATCATAAAATTGTTTATCGGTAACAATTGCTTGAAATGCTTGAGTGTTAGGAAGATTTGGGTCGCCAGCGATTGCCCAATAAGATGAATCAGTATCACCTTCAATGAAATGAAAACGATTAACATCCATGCATTTATACATAAAATCATAAATGAAAACCAAATACCAGTATTTAGCATTATCTAAAGTGAAGAATGCCTCTTGTAAACATGTTTCACATCTATAAAATCTATCTTTAAGCATCACTTGATATGTATCCTCTCCTATTTCTCTTATGTTTTTAAACTTATTTGACATACATGCAACGCGTGACTTCTGTGCATTCGTTATTTTAGTCTTTGCGTAATTTTGTGTATTCATTGCATCGTAACCATATGATCCATTAAGTGAAATTTTGCAAAATAAACTTTTTCCTTTATTTCCTTCTAATTCAGCCTTTTGTCTTTCGTTCATAAATTTGTTCGCAAATTCATTAAAACAAATGTTTTTAGTAAATGTTAAAATTGATTGAATATCATCAATGATAAAATGAAATCTGTCTATTAGATACCAAAGATAATAAGAAGAAAATGGTTGATATTGGTTGTGTGTTGATGCTAACTGAGTTAATTTTCTCTGTTTCTGGTCAACTGGTAGATTGTTTGATTTCATGTAATTATACATAAAACTGCCAATTGTTTTTTCATCTGTGATAATATCTAAGTTTCTTATTATCGGTAAAAAGTTAATGTAATCATTAATGTATTTTTCATCAATGTGACCCTTTACTTCAGCCACGAATAAAGTATTTTTCTTCTTAATAATTCCCAGTGCTTTTGCTTTCTTTGTTGCTGTATCACAAATGATAACACCATTCAATCTTCCCGGCATATACATTTTATGGTCAGTATATTGAATGAAATCATGAGGATTAGATGAAAATGATGAAGGATATAATGAATTAAATCAACACCAACGAAATGAGTCATAATGTTGGTGGTGTCCTCATTTGATACAGTTTTAGTTTCTGGACTATATGAAAGTTTATTAATGTGCGTGATTCCTTTAAGATTAACACGATGTTGAACATTTGATAACCACCAGTAATTCCATTACGGAGAATGTGATAAGCTTCAACTGAATCTAAAGTCATTGGTAAATTATTTTTTAATGCATAATTTCTTAAATTGATTCTTAAACGTTGAACATCTTCATCTTTATTTGATTTTACGACATTGCAATAACAACACATTAACTGACAATTTTCTTTGGTATGTGGTTTTTCATTATCGATTCTATCCAATGTTGGTTTATTTGCATATGTAAACGCTTTACCACACATTTTACATTTAGATGAAAGGATTAAATCGTGAAAATATTGATAGTCATCCATTGAAACATTGTTTTTAGTATCCCTTTCTGCTTTTCATCTTGTTTCTTATATGATTCAATTTTATATTTCCAATACTTTTTCGTTAATTCAAAACTTGATTCCACATTTTCTTCTTCTGGATATTTTCGTTAGGATTGAAGTTCTTATATGCTAACGCGTAACGAATCATTGATGCATTGATGATAAGAAAGATTATGAGCATGTCAATTTTATAAACAAATGTTTCTTCAATAATTTTATCAATTGGGTCAATCATAATTTCAACATCTTTATTGCAATAATGAATAAAATATTCTAATCTATTCTTAAAATTTTTAGCATCATTGAGATATATTTGATAATCTGAATCGGATATTGTTTCTTGTGTTAATGCTGAATAAAATGAATCTTGAGTGAATGGTTCCTTTATATAATTCATCTTCGTAATTCTCCCATGTGATGAATTGATATGGGAAGAATGATTTAATACGTGTTTTATTGTTTCCGAAATCTTGAGTAAATTGGTCTAATGTTCCACCCGCTATATAATTTCTGATGTCAATAAATCTCAATTCATATGGAGTGTTTGTTTTCTTTACAATGATTTGCTTAAATTGAGAAGAAGAACCCAGTATTGATTTTATCTTCCATTTTGCAGTATTTAAATCACGAAGAATTAAATTTAAATCAAACTTTCCCGAATTAAAACCTATGATATTCACTTTATTGAATTCCTCATCTAAAAGCTCTTTCATTGCTTCCTTTTGTTTCTCATTTAATGTATTCATTAATTCTTCATATTGTTCAATATTTGATTTAGCAACTAATGAACAGGTTGAAAATAAAAACTCAATCCAGTCAGAAATAAAAGAATCACTCGAAGTTAAGCAAAAATTCCTCGTATATGTTTTATCACGGTCTACGACCTCGCCGCTTTGCGGCTTTATTTTGACAGTTGATGATACCATAAATGGTTTTAAGTAAGCGTTCAAAGTTGCACATTCAGAAAGTAGAAGTTCTTCTTTAGTCTCTAATGTTTCGAAGTCAAAAGTAATATAATATCTTGTCGGTTGATAATATTCCTGCAAATTATGAGCTAATAACCACTGATATATCTTCTGTTTCGTAATATGTGGTGCATATGGTTGCTGTGTCTTTTGCAATTGAACGTCTTGAATTAATCTTCCATTATTTTCTTTACATTTCTCACAATGTTTTAAAAATCTTCTTTGGTTTTTCCTTTCTGGATCATCACGGATAGAATAAACTTCTTCTTTACAATATGGGCAAACTTTATATCCTGTGAGTGCTTCAACGTCTGTTATTCTGTCAGCGTGAAGTTTTCCACATGGACTCTGTGTTAATAAAATATTTACTGTTTCAAATTCTGGATCTATCATTATTGATTCCACTAATGGAAAGTCTACCTTATTTATGTCCACGTCTTCTGGTTGAGGATCACAATAATAGAAATCAATATTAACATTTAACATTCTCGCTAATCTCTCACTTTCTGATGAAATGTCAAATCCTTCATATGCATCTATGGCTTCATTTAAATAACTTCTACGAGTTTTAGGATTAACACCATCAGGAATGTTATAGAAGCGTTTAAATAACCTTCTACCTTCGGCTCTTATTTGATTATCATTCATTTTAGCTGTTCCATTTTTGTTCATTTATGTAAGAATAAAAAATTAAAAAATAAAGTTTATTTTTTAAAGTCCGAGACTCAGAGAGTCCAGGGCTAAAGTCCATAAAATGAATTAAGAACACATAAATTTTTATCATCTGCGACGTGACGAATACATTTTAATTTACTCAAGAATGTGTACCCTGATACATTAAATCTAATTCCTGTCTTATTTAATTTCACAACTTTGAAAAGGAATGTATGAATAGCTATAAAATGATGAGATGATGTTTTATGGGTTGCTTCCATTTTTTCTGAAATAAATGAATAAATATAATGCTTATAAGTTTTCATATCTTTTATGTTCTTAATAACGAATGGTATAGACCTTTCAACTTCGTCTTCCTTCGGTGCTGTTCTTTCATATGAAACATTATTGGTATCTTCAATAATGAAACCACAATCACACAAAATTTTATAGGTTCCAATGGTTTCTTTTGATATTTTATCTAATAAATCAAAAACTTTATCAACACCTGTGCATTTATTTAAATAATAATTTGTGTAAATATCATGATCTTCTTTCTTAATCGTATTAGTTGCATATGTCACGTTTTTAAGAGCTTTTTTGAATTTTTCGGAATCTAAAGGTGGTGAAAGTAAGATACAAGGGTATTCTTCATTATCAATAAATTGTAACTTATGTTTATGAATAAATTTTGTGCCTTCTTCTGAAAGTGTTTCGTCAATATCACCATCTAATAAATTTTTAGTAGATTCCAAAAAGTAATTTTTATATCTTTCCTCATGTGATTTTTGAACTTCTGATTCTGAAGCCGGGATATTCATTAAACCCTCTACTTCATTCTCAGCATTTCTCAATTCCTTAATTTTTTCATCTATTTCATTTCTTAATTGTTCCAATTTCTCAATCTCATCGTTATAATATTCATCTTGTTTAATTTTTTCTTCAAAATATTCAGGAGGTGTTTCAAGGCTCTCTGAGCCCAGGTCCTCTGGACCATAAAGAGGAATATTCTCCTGTTTTTCAACTTTTTTGGGATATAAATATCTCATTATAGCCTTTTTAGTAATTGGTCCGTTATATTTAAATTCATTCAACAATCTGGAAAACTCTTTCACATTCTGCATATATGTTGGATAAGAACCGTCTCCAAAATTTTCTAAAATATTTTCTAATTCTGAATTAGTGAACTTTAAAGATTTCAATGAATTAGTTGTTATACTCATTTATTATAAAATAAAAGATGAAAAAAATAAATTTAACTTAGTTTTAATTTTACGTAAGAAGTCAATTTTTTAAATCTTGATTTATTCAAAAAATGTAAGACATGAATTTCCTCCTTTTTTTCCCTGTTGTCAAAATGTCATGTTGTCACTATTTTCAAAAAGATGTTAATTAACCGAGGGACCGAGGGACCGAGGGACCCTCATTTATTCAAAAAATGTAAGACATGAATTTTTAAAGTTTATTTTTTAAAAAATTATTTTTTTATTTCATTATGGTAGTGAATCTTTTATTCATGAAAATAATTATTTCTAATTTCTTTTACTCTCTCATATATACTAGATTTAAAGAATTCAGAACATTTCCCATAATCTCCTAAATGTTTTCTTATCCCTAACGTGTGCCAGTTATTATATGAAACTGAATAAACTTTATCTTTATCTTTACACCTTTCATCACTTCCAATATATTTATATCTCAGTTTTGATTTAGCATTTTCATATTCATTAACGTTTAATAATTCACAGTCTTCCTTTTTAAATATATGTTTAAGATATTCAGGATTTAATACTCTACGTTTATATGCTCCTAACTTAGTTCTAAAGGTTTTTCTACAAAATTTAGGAATTCCATCCTCTTTAATGTCATCAATGATTTCCATTTCATTATTTTCCATTTCTTCTTCTCGTTTATGAGGTCTTTGATTATGACTCCATTGATTCCATGAAATTAAATATTCTTTATCATTATATTTATACCTCATTAGCTTATTTTGGCTTTCATATTCATTTAATAATTCACAGTCTTCCTTTTTAAATTGAAGTTTAACCCATTCAGGATTTAAACAATGTTTAATTAATCGCGGAATATCTGACATCATCTATATATAGCTTCTTTTATAAAAGATAAAAAAATAAATTATTTTAAAATTAATGTTAATTTTTTAAATGATTTATAAATAAATATATTTTAATACATCGTCTATATATAGATGTAACAAAAAAAGTCACACAACCCTTCATACCCTACTACTAACTTTCAGAGATGAATGTAATTCTTTATTAAACAGATTCAAAGAAGTTACGATCGAAATTATCGATCCGATAGATTTCGCACCCTTCTCAATGGAGCAAATCATAAATTTTTCGCATACATACATTTTCGCACAATATCTGATAAAAGCAAATATGAAAGACCATGAAATGTTCAATTGCATTATGAAATTTATTGAATATAAAAAGATCAAAGAAAATGAGACTGAATGAAACTCAAAGAAAAATTTACCAAAAAATTTTCCAAAATCGAAAATTATCTATCAACTCATTCTTTAAATCCAACAACTCCAGTTATAATTGGTACTATTTCCTTTCTTTGATTTCAATTATATACTTTGCACAAGGTCAAACTCAAATTCCTGTGGTTGATATCATAAATTACTCAGGTTGTCTTTTCGATTTGAACTGTGATAAGATAGTTTACAACCCTTCCAGATATTTCTTTCGATTTAATTCAGGTCCTTCAATTGATGATATTATTTTTCCGAGTAATAGCGTTTTTGATGATACTGACAACTACTTTCTGTCTAAAGAATTCCATTTGGAAATTGATTTTAATGATCCAATCCAATTTGGTAAAATTAGTTTAGAATATATAAATAGTATGTGTAAAACGGCTGCATTTAATAATGAACGAAAATTTGCTGTTGAAATCAAGTCTTCGCTCGGAAAACAAACTTTTAATTTCGAAGATGGTAGTGAGAGCAATGATAGTAATGATAGCAGTAATAAAATTAAAAGTAGAATTAGTATTGCAAAAATAGGAGGAAAAGCTAAAGGAACTAAAATTCAATTATATTCAATTGAAAAACAAATCCTCCATTGTTTTAGAATTAAACGTATCCGTGTGTATGGCAGGATCCTGAATAGTATCGACCAACAGGAGAATCCTTTTCCTGAAAATAACTCTCAACCAAGACACGCATCGATTCAATGTAAGAGGCAATGAATTCACATGTGAATACCTTTTTTTCTATGATTCTCTGTTTTGTTATTAAATGATTTAAGGATACCCTTACGTGTCAGATTTTTTGCGCATACGAAGAAGTCATGCTAGACATGAGCTATAAACCTGAAATTTTAGCAACATATTTAAAACTTTTTAAACTACAATACACTTTAATATTCAAGAACAAAAATATTCTTTTTAGAAATTACATAATTATTTTATGTGAAATCTATATAAAAACATATTTTGCGAGCGTAACTTTTTTCTTTATAAGCACCTTATATGACTGATAAACTGTGAAGGCACATAATTGTTAATTCATAGAGTTGATATGTTTCCAAAATTGAGAGGAAATTTGAAAATTGAATACCCTTTCAATTCAATTTTCAAAAGATATCAGCTCCTTCAATAATTGAAGGACGATTTTGATCATTTGCTCTTAAAACAAGTATGCCATGGAGAAAAAAGTTACGCTCGCAAATCTGAAATATAACTATCATATAAAAAAATTAAATTTCTAATTTTTTACTCTATAGATATTATTGGCCACTTGTGTAATGCATAAAAGTTTATGTCATATGCATACATTTGGAAGTATGGGAGACGAGGGAAATTACTTCTATGAGGCACTAGGATTTTTAAAAATTTCTCTATCGGACTCACTATTCAATTTCTCGAAAATTAAAAAAAATCAATAATAGCTAAAATGTATTATGCATAACAAATTTTAATGTTACACGGTATTTTTTGAACTTTAGGACATGAATTTTCTTTATATATTTTTTTTTTTGGAATTTCTATGATTTATGCGATAGGCTGGAACAACATTGTAAGTGCAATGATATCATTTATAGAGAAATCTAAAACTTCAGCATTCAGAACTCGCAACCACAAAAATATTCATTTGCTAAGTAAGTAAAGTTGATTAAGTTCGACACTTAGCTTTTATACGTAAAACCAAGTGTGTATTGTTATTTCTTGTTAAATTATTGAGAAAAAAATAAATTGTAAGAGAAACGATACTGATTATTGAAATAATATTGAGGGTAGCTGCAGATTTCTTCATTAACATGCCGGAAATTTGTTAATCTTGGTTTTCTATCATAAAATCTGTCGAAGAATCTAAAAACGGAGATATGAAATAGAGATCATGTAAATCTAGAGTATCCTGTCAGAAAAATAGACTAAGCATGTAACCCTTTTTTGGTCATAAACACTTTTTACCACTTAGTCATACAGATGATCATTAAATTTAAACGAGCACTTTTTGTCAGAATTTATTCTTTTACAAAGACAGAAGATTTTAGTATTATTTAATATTAGTGCTGTAGCAAAATTCAAAAAACGGTGAAAATTCAGTGAATTTGTGAATTCACATTTTTTTCGACATTTTTCTTGATATATCCATGCACATTAAGAACACAGCTTTGATACGCTTAAAAAAGCATATTTCATATGAAATTGTTAAAGAAATAAACAATTTATATAAAAATTGCACTTATGGGCAGTTTAGATATATAATTTATATATAACATATATACAAATCCATAGACAAAGTGCAATAACTACAATGTTGTAGAAAATTACAGCAGAAATACTGACTTTTTGAAGGATAATAAGAATTCTTCTAAAAATACTGAAAATTAACATATTTCTGTACTCAATTTAGTATATGCACAGAAGTTATGATTTGGTGTTAGGTTTTTATGCCCCAAAATCTAGATTTTTGTGACATCAAATCTTATTAGTGGATAAATCAAAGACTGTCATTTTGAAATAAGCTCATATCAATA